TTTTTGTTTTGTTTTTGTTTTTGTTTCTAGCGACTCTTGCATAGAATAAATCCTATGCACATTATATTCCTTTGATTTTCTTCTTCTTCTAAGAAATGGTGTCAGGTGAACACATATGACCACACAGAGTACAATATTATGGAATTAAAACACACATGCGGTTGCTTGGTGGACATTATCATTAAACTATTTTGCATAACTATGGATTTGGAGCTTTTAGAAGTTAATCCCTGCTGTTTAGCATCCCTTATGGACCCTCAGCACTTGTAGTTGTATGTGTTCCATGTGACGCTAGTCCACATGGACCTAGGGTCTTTAAGTTCGCCCCTTGGAAGAAAAGATGACAGTAAATTATAAATTTGAAACCAGACTCGCTTCTGTTACTTTGTATTTTCTATGGCAGTTAGATGGAAATGCAACATAATTTTATTAGCATGAAACATTATGATATCATTGGCTTGTAATAATTTAGCTTTTCTGTCAGGTGTTGGCTAGCTTCATTTTGTTCCCAAGAAACCTTTTTTCTCGAAGCATTCACGCTTCTCTGTCAAAATAACAATAGGGTCAAGGACATTATATCAGTTGGATCCAATTTATCTATATGTTGAAAGCCATTCAGGAAATCCATAAAGAAAGAAAAAGAAACGGTGACATAATTTGGAAACTGAATCTTGGTTTTAACATGGTTAAGTGCCTTAGCAACTTTCATGAATGATTACAAGTCCATGTAAAGGAAGGATATGAGAGAAAAAAAAAAAAATTAACTGACAAGTTCATTGAAAAACTTCCATCAGATGAGCTAGTTTATCAAAGCGTGGATATTGGTTTTCTTTATACTCATTTTCCCTCTTGATCTCTCATCCGCATGGTTTCCCAATGAACTTTTATTCTTTATGGACCAGGCTATGATTATCATTGCATGGCATCAGCGTGGATCCTCCAATGCTAATTTTGATGATACTCTTGTTCGAAGTGTTATGAGCATCTTCATTACTGCTGCCATTTTAAACTTTTGGCGAGGTACCTATGATTTCTTTCTCTCTCCATCTGTTGGTCAACCTTTTTTATTTAACGCAATTAATTGAGCTAGACTCGCACCGTCTTTCATATAATTAAACTGATTTGTACCATATCCACCATCTGTTATGCAGCTTTCCTGGATATAGTCCTGAGTTTTAATGCCTGGAGGAGCCTGAAATTTACGCAGATACTCCGTTATTTCATGAAATTTGTGGTTGCTTCATTTTGGCTTATAGTCATGCCTGTAACTTATTCCAGATCCGTTCAGAATCCAAGTGGGATAGTAAGATTCTTCAATAATTTGGGAGCAAATTGGGAGATCCAGTCAATGTATAACTACTCTGTTGCGATTTATTTGATACCCAATGTATTGGCTGCCTTGCTATTTTTCTTTCCTTTTCTTCGAAGAGCTATGGAACGCTCTACCTGGCGTGTTGTTAACCTCCTAATGTGGTGGTGTCAGGTAAGCCCTTTTGATTTGTGCTTGTGATGAATATATTTGTCTTATACAATTATGAATGGATACATTTTTTCTTGAATTTCAGCCAAAGCTGTATGTTGGACGAGGAATGCATGAAGACATATTCTCCCTTCTAAAGTAAGCCTGTAGATGTCTATATTAGACCATGAAACCATTTCTTTACTGAATACGCATTTGTTTTTTCTGGAATTACTTTCGTTCCAGTTGCCTTTTCTCTTTCTTTATCCCTTTCCCACTGTTTCATTTTTCTGTCGGCATATTTTTTTTTTTTTGGTAAAAGTTAGTGGCGCATGATATGCATATGGTGGTGCAAGCGTTAGCATCTAATCTATGTTGATTGTGTTGCAAGGAATCTTGATCAGATCACATTTTGACGAACAATTTTGTGTTGTGATCAGGTACACACTCTTTTGGATTACCCTAATAATCGTCAAGCTTGCATTCAGCTATTATGTTGAGGTACATTTTTCCATGCAGTATGAAATTTGGGTTTTATGATGTAGGCAACTTTGAGGCACATTACTATTTACTAGGGGATCTGAATTTGGATGTTAATATTAATTGCCATGTTATCCATCTGCATATGTTACAATGGACCTCCACATATGGGGTTGTAATGTGAAAAAAAAAAAAAAAAGTCCTTTACTTACTACATAGATTCTTCTGGACATTATCTTTCCCCTACCCCTGCTCCTCCTCTTTAAGTACCAAAGAAAACTGATGCTAATTTTTATTCTTATCAGTTTACTTTTCTGAAGCCATTATCATTCTTGATTTACGGCTTTTCAGGTTTCTTTTTATACATTAATGTGCAATTTTTGTGCGACTCATTGTCTTGATTAGATATTACCATTGATCGAACCAACAAGGATTATCATGAGTCTCAGAGTCAGTAGTTATGATTGGCACGAATTTTTCCCAAATGGTAATTTCTTTCTTTCTGCGCATGGACTATATAAGTTTTTCTTTCTTTTCTCATTTTCTGCGGCCTAATTAGTTTGAACATGTATATAATGCAGTTACTCACAATATTGCGGTAGTAATTGCAATATGGGCCCCAGCTGTTCTGGTACGTCATAAGAAGTACCAGTTGATATTAAATGTTCTGCTCAAAAGTCTTTCCAAATCATATAGATTTTTTGATATTAAATGTTCTGCTCAAAAGTCTTTCCAAATCATATAGATTTTTTTTTTTTTTTTTTTTTTTTTTTTTTTTTTAAAAAAAAAATTTATCCAGGTCTATTTCATGGATACACAAATATGGTATGCTATCTTCTCCACTATTGTTGGTGGAATCTATGGAGCATTCAGCCATCTTGGGGAGGTCTGTGATTTGTCGACATATTTGCTCAGATAAATTCATAAACCTCCTGGTCATTTCTATAATTTTTCCCTTGATTTTCTCTGTAAAATTTTGCCAATTCTAGATAAGAACACTTGGAATGTTGAGGGCAAGATTTGAATCCGTTCCTTCAGCTTTCAGTAGGCGTCTTGTTCCGTACACCAAAGAGGAAACCAGACAAAATCAACGGGTCAGTAGATGTTCTCAGTTTTTTCATGCTCAGTATATGTACCTCTCAAACTCGCGAGCAGGACCTTTCATGGAAATCTGATTCTTTCTGAAAATGACACAAGTCCATCACTCTTATCCAGTATAAACCACAAGAATTTGCTGTTTGATCTTTTTTGATCGGAAATTTGTATTGCAGGACGACACAGTGGAAAGAATAAATATAGCAAAATTCTCTCAGATGTGGAATGAGTTCATATTATCTATGAGAAATGAAGATTTGATAAGCAATAGGTCCGTAAGATTTTTTCCATTATTACCAAATTAGTTTAAAATGATGGAAAAAAAAAATCAGCGGGAGGTGAAGTTATTATAGCAGCAGCGTGATTTAGAATAGTTTGGTGTCACATTATTATGCAATTGAATTCTCCAGGGAGAAAAATTTGCTTCTTGTGCCGTATTCATCAAGTGATGTATCAGTCGTTCAATGGCCTCCTTTCTTGCTGGCGAGTAAGGTAAAAATTGGTCTATTTTGCAGTTCTTCGCCTGTTAATGTTCTCATGTTGTGGATTGATTATCTCGTCATCGACTTCAGATTCCAATAGCATTGGACATGGCCAAAGATTTCAAAGAGAAGGAGGATGCTGACCTCTTCAAGAAAATTAAGAATGACGATTTCATGTATTTCGCAATAATTGAATGCTACGAAACGCTGAGGGACGTGCTTCTTGGGCTTCTATTAGATGATGGGGATAAAAAGTAAGGGCTTTCCCAGTTAGTTTGTCTTTCTATTTTGATCCCTAATACCCAGAAGTTGGGCTTAATACTCACAACCAGCTAGAAGTTTTGACTAATATGCATTACTTGTATTGTTGGTCTGTCTTTGTAGAATTATTTGGGAAATATGTCATGAAGTGGAAAGTAGCATCCAGCGGAGAAGATTCTTGAGGGATTTTGCGATGAGTGGGCTGCCTCTATTAAGTGATAAACTGGATAAATTTTTAAACCTTCTGGTAATTTTAATATTTGATCCTTGTATAATTTTTTTTTACTTCATTTGCTTCAACATTTGCACATGTGCTGTGTGTTTCATTGGTTGTTTTTTTTTTTTTTAAATTAATTGCAGATGACAGATTATGAGGATGCTCAGTTATATCGATCTCAAATCATCAACAAATTTCAAGATATTATAGAGATTATCATCCAAGATATAATGGTTAATGGCATGCAGTATGTCAATCTGAAAGTTCATGTCCGCAGATTTACTCACCAGTGTATTTTCAACATTTGGAGACGTGAGATGTTCTCTCTTTATGTAGGGTTTTAGAGAAAGCCAATTCACATCACGAGGAGAGAAAAGAGCAGATGTTTGAAAGGGTGAAGATTGATCTTTTACAAAGCAGGTCGTGGATGGAAAAGGTCGTGGAGACTTGCTAAGACCTATACCACCTCTGATTTCATTTTCTAGTTTCTCTTTAATTTTCAGTTTCTTTATTTCTTTCTTTTTTTTATTAATTATTATCTGTCCACACAGGTTGTCCGGCTGCATTTGCTTTTGACTGTGAAAGAATCAGCAATCGATGTTCCTACAAATATAGAAGCTCGTCGAAGGACTACTTTCTTTGCGAACTCTTTATTTATGACCATGCCCAATGCCCCAAAAGTTCGTAATATGCTATCTTTTAGGTGAGCTTTCATTTTGAAAACCTCACTTTCATGTGCTCTTGATTCTTATTTCTTGTAATCTTTTGATACAGAAATTTGGGTCATAAAGTCTTTCTTCTTGATGACAAAATATTGTGGTCAGGTGAAGGGAGAAAAAGTTAGGATATGCGTATCTCAGAAATTGATTTGGTTATTATCCTACATTAAACTTAGGACACAAATAATGAAACATCATGAAAACCTACACTATGCGATTACATTATGTGAGGATATAGTTACTCGTATCCTTTTCCTCAAACCGGAACTCCAACTGCAGAACTTAATAGTAGAAAGAGTAAATATAAACATCTAAAACAAATTTTTGCAGTACAACAGAACAGAAAAAGAAAAAAAAAAAATTGAGTGCATAAAAGTGTTCTTTGGTGTTTAGATCCGATTCAAAATGGAATAGTTCTGTTCACTCTCATGAATTGTTCAATCCCAGAACCACTGGTTGTTCATGAAAAAGGAGAATATTACTTCATCAGTAGGGCCATAGGCTAGAGTCATGATCTGTGGTATTATGCCATAGTGCATAAGAGAAATATTATTTAGTAAGATCACCATGCTTGCTTCTTTTCTCTCTGTTTTTATTCTTTTATTTACTCATTTGCAATTGGTAAGCATATCCTTAGCATTCTTATAATTAAAAAAATTGACCACCTTTACATTTAGTATGCATGTGCTTTCTTTATTTGATGTTATGTCTATTGAAAATGGTTGACCTCATACGTACAAGTCTTTCTAGCAAGTCTAATAAGAATATCATATCTGTTTTGGTGTCCAGTGTATTGACACCATACTACAGAGAACCGGTTCTTTATTCGACGGAAGAGCTTAACAAGGAAAATGAAGATGGCATTACGACTCTTTTCTATCTTCAGAAAATATATCCTGGTGAGCTTAAATTCATTTCTTCTGTCAGGGCTGCAAACTAGCGAGCTTGGACATGTGTACCTTTATTTAATGAATAATGAATATGTTGAAGAACAATCATGCACTGTCGTGAACATTTTCATTTATTGTTCATGCAGAAATGTTCATTAAATTAGAATATTTTATCCATGACATTCATCAGCTTTAAGTAAACATTATCATAATTAGTCCAAATATATATAATTATATCAAATATATCAACAAGAAAAAACACTTAATTCTACACGTGATTGATGAATATAGTCAGATATATAATTAAGTTATAGTAAATTAACAAATGGTAGACGAACATTAGATGAGCATGTTTACGAGCATGTTTGCGAACATAATTCATAAACCTAACAACTTTTCTTTTCACTTATTTTCATTAAGCTTAACAAAACTTATTCTCATTAAGCTTAACAAACGAAATTTGTCAAGAACTAACCAGCACGATTGCAAACTGTTCACCAGAACGTGAACTCTCTGCTTATTAGCAGCCATGCTTTCTTCATAAAAAGATGTTGATGCTTCTTTCCTACAATAATTTATTAGTATCCATCTCACAGATGAATGGAACAATTATCAAGAGCGGATCCTAGATGCCAAACTTGGTAACCAAAATAAAGACCCATCAGAATTAGATCGTCAATGGGTATCTTACAGGGGTCAGACACTTGCTCGTACAGGTCAGAACTTGCTGATATGAGTTCTTAATGGCGTGCATTTTCCTTGGCCAGTGTTTAATATTTACTTTCTTGTTTACACTAGTGAGAGGGATGATGTACTACCGTGAGACTTTGGAACTTCAGTGCTTTTTGGATTTTGCTGACGATAATGGTTGGTGGGAATTATCTTTTATTACCGGAAAATAGCTACCTTTTGTTTTTCACATTATTTCTCTTTAACTAATTAAATCTTTATTGTTCCATGCAGCCTTTATTAATGAACACAATTTTCTATTTCTTTGCAGCTATTTTTGGTGGATACCGGGCAATTGATATAAATCACAGAGATTACAGAACTCTAAAGGAACGAGCACAAGCTTTAGCAGATCTGAAATTCACTTATGTTGTATCTTGTCAGGTCTATGGTGCTCAGAAGAAATCGAGTGACCCACAAGACCGGAGTTGTTATGTCAATATCTTGAATCTTATGCTCACGTAAGTTGCTTTTTGTTGATAAATACTTAAATGCATATTCAATCTGATTTATTGACATTTTTCTGTTTTTTTTTTTTTAATAAATCTTCAAGGTATCCATCTCTACGTGTTGCTTATATAGATGAGAGGGAGGAAACAATTAATGGAAAAACTGAGAAGGTCTATTATTCTGTCCTGGTCAAGGGGGGTGAGAAGTTGGATGAGGTAAGAGATTAAACATAATGGACTTCAGCAACAACATCTTTTGCGTATTGATCAGTAATGATTATATATTTTACAATATCAGGAAATATACCGTATCAAGCTTCCAGGTCCTCCAACAGCAATTGGTGAAGGGAAACCCGAGAATCAAAATCATGCAATCATTTTTACTCGTGGAGAAGCCCTGCAAACCATAGATATGAATCAGGTTGAGTTGTGATTTATACTTTTATCTTGATATTAGAGAGGAATACTAAGGAAGTACATGCTCCGATATGATTAGTTGCATTATCAGAGAAAGAGCAAGAAACTGGATATCACCATATATGTCAGTTTAACACTATCTTTTGCATGATTATTTCCCCTCAGGATAATTACTTTGAGGAAGCTTTCAAGATGCGTAATGTTTTGGAGGAATTTTTAAGACCTCGTCGTGGACAACGAAAACCTACAATATTGGGTCTAAGAGAGCATATTTTCACAGGGAGGTCTGTTTTCAATTTCAATCCAATAAAGAGATGAAATCTGTTATGATATACATATGCTTACTTTTTCCTTTTCATTGTAGTGTTTCTTCACTCGCTTGGTTCATGTCCAATCAAGAAACCAGTTTTGTGACAATTGGGCAAAGAATTTTGGCAAACCCCCTGAGGTACATGTGTGCTTTTAACAGCCATCTACTTTAGTCTTTGAGTTTTATTTTTGGTGTATGTGGTGTTGATATGATAGTTATGTTTGGGCTGTTAGTGAATATTCTACAATTCAATGAAGTTTGATGGTCAAGTTGAGAAAAAATCAAAATACGTGAAAGAGGTCATTAAATTGTGAAGAAACATAAAAATCTTCCATGTGAGATTTTGAGAAATTTGTGAAAGAGGAAAAGGAACCTACAAAAATTTTTTTACGCGTCACAAAGTTATTAAAGAGATGAAAATTGCTGTGTCTCCCTATTTAATCAATTAATAATAAACAAGAAAAAAGGAACATGTCACATTGTGAGAATTTTGTGAAAGAGAAAAAGGAACCAACCACTTTTTATTAGTTGTGAAGGAGTATTTTGTGGCACCCTGAAAGAGGTCATCAAATTCTGAAGAAAGCATAAAATCTTCCATGTCCGATTGTGAGAATTTTGTGAAAGAGAAAGAGGAACCAACAGATTTTTATTTTGCAGCACGAAGTTATTAAAGAGATGAAAATTGCTGTGGCACCCTATTTATACAACAGGAAAAACATGAGTTATGCTGTCTCTGCTTGTCCTACTCATTAGGACAAGGAAATAAAAGGATCTTTTACTATTTAATTAGATTGCATAGGAAACAAAAGATGGACAAGTGAAAAAAAACTGGTAGTCTTGATACTTTTGGGAGGATTGAATTTGACAATATTTTAATCTCTATCATCTATACCAGTTTGTCATGAAGTTTGATCGGTTGGTAATATAAATGCCATTTCTGGATAGTCATTCGATCGAAGTGGGGTTATCTTGATATTTAGCAGACTCTAATAATTAACTGGTCCGTTTGCTTCTGCAGGGTAAGATTCCACTATGGACATCCTGATATTTTTGACAGAATCTTTCATTTGACAAGAGGAGGGATGAGCAAAGCTTCAAAAACAATCAATCTGAGTGAAGACATCTTTTCTGGTATAATCTACTCAAAAATCATTCTTACACATAATGTTTTCTTATTCTTATTTGAATTCTTTGACTGAATTTACTGTACTCAGGTTACAATTCGACACTAAGAAGAGGCTTTGTAACACATCACGAGTATATCCAAGTAGGCAAGGGACGAGATGTTGGTATGAACCAGATATCTCTTTTCGAGGCAAAGGTCGCAAACGGCAATGGAGAACAGACGCTCAGTCGAGATGTCTTCCGACTCGGACGCCAATTCGATTTCTACCGAATGTTGTCCTTTTACTTCACTACAGTTGGTTTTTACTTCAGCAGCATGGTAAGTCATATTTCAATCGTCTAATCCGAGCATCCCCTTTCAGATGAATGCATATCAAACAACTCTTTATTTTTGTAAAAACCTCTTTCAGGTTACTGTACTCACCGTGTATGTCTTCTTATACGGACGATTGTACATGGTCTTGAGTGGTCTGGAAAGGCGTATTCTAGAAGAACCATTCATGGGCCAAAGTAATGCTTTAGAAGAAGCTCTGGCAACACAGTCTTTCTTCCAGCTGGGCTTGCTACTCGTTCTCCCCATGGTAATGGAGATTGGGCTCGAGAGAGGATTTCGAAGCGCCATTGGCGATTTCATAGTCATGCAGCTCCAGCTGGCATCAGTCTTCTTCACTTTCCAGCTCGGGACAAAAGCGCACTATTACGGGCGTACCCTTTTGCACGGTGGCTCCAAATACCGGGCCACGGGGCGCGGTTTTGTCGTTTTCCATGCAAAATTTGCTGAGAACTACCGAATCTACTCACGCAGCCACTTTGTGAAGGGGCTCGAGCTTTTCATACTGCTGATAGTTTATGAGGTGTATGGGCACTCGGCACGTGGCTCTTCGTCTCTGTACTTCTTCATTACTTTCTCGATGTGGTTCCTTGTGGCCTCGTGGCTTTTTGCTCCGTTTGTTTTCAACCCGTCCGGGTTCGAGTGGCAAAAGACGGTGGAGGACTGGTCGAATTGGAAAAGGTGGATGGGAAATCGTGGTGGGATCGGGATCTCGCCTGATAAGAGTTGGGAGTCGTGGTGGAACGAGGAGCAGGATCACTTGAAGTATACTAATATAAGGGGTCGGGTTCTAGAGATTATCCTTGCTTGCCGTTTTTTCATATACCAATATGGGATTGTCTATCGGCTTAGGATATCACATGGCAGCACGGATATTCTGGTACAAGGACCACCAAAATATAATCTCTGTTGCTCCTTTTTTTTTT